TCTTAATAGTTTTTGACATTTAAAAAATACATATTAATTGAGTACAGAGCATCTGTATATAGTGTGAGTAAAGTATTGTTTATATCTATGAGTGCATTTAAGGAGATGCTTATTAATAGTAGTACAGATATGTATGCCATAAATGAATTCTGTGACATTCTAAGAATTTGTGAGAAATGCTTATGTATAGCAAAACTGTTAGTAATTTCAATATAACATTATTATCCAGCAATTTCTAATTCTACTTTTTTAAATTATATTATTCAATTTGTTTACTGCTTAAAGATCACTCACTCTCCCACCACGAATCTCCTTCACATACGAGTTCTCTAATATATCCTCTATTATATTCAACTAGTTTGCCATGTCCACTCAAACGACACGGACCTCCAATATCATTTTTAGCAAACTGACTCGTTACACCGAATTTAGTTTTGGTTCTTAGTTTTTTTAAAATAAGAAAGTTTACACGAAAACACAACATGACGGTACTGCTATGCATTGAGGTAAGAATATTTTTAGTAATTTTAATAAATAACAAGTAATATAAAGATAAAAGTAGACATTGGTTCATGCTGGTTTTAGAATAATTGCAATCAACCACAATTCAAGTCTTAAAAAGGACATCGTGTATGTTTAATGTAAAACATGATTTCCTTCCTGATGATCTTAAGATTGGTGTTATTAGAAGAGGCATGACTTTTTCAAGATGTGTTGTCCTTCTAAACAATTTTTAAATGTAACGAATATAAGAAGATTGTAATATCCGAATTAGTTTTATAAGTAACGATTGTTTATTAATATGTTCCGAATTTTATAATAACTAACTACTGAAGATGACCACAACCAGATGGTCGAAACGTCTAGATTGACCTAAACATTTGTTATAATATATCAATAAATTAAGCACGAAAATCCAGCTTGGGCTCTGTAGCTTGTTGTTAATAATTTATTTGAATAATTTGAGCCAATATTATAGTTTTAATTTATTCTATAAATTTTATCTGAAACATTTTTGTCTGCCGGGCTCAGTTTTCGAGATATTTGACTGGCTAGTTCAAAATGGGACACCCTGTATATCGCATCATAAGATAATCGGTATATTTTTTTACATTTTGCATTTTGATCGTTAATTTCTAAAGCTATGAACGGGGTTATTTCGGAAATCGCTGTCTCAAGTCGTAAATTAGAAGAAAAAACTATACTTCAATATATATTGACTATCATATTGTAAGAGGACCGACATGTATTTTTGCATTTTGCATCAAAATGATGGCAGATTAAGATTCGCAGGATAAGTCATTTTTGATCGGCAATTTTTAAAGCTATCAACAAGGTATTATTCCGGATATCGCTGTCTCAAATCATAAATTAGAAAAAAACTACATTTTAATATATACTGGTCTATCGTATTGTAAGATGACCAGCATATTTTTTTGCATTTTGCACTAAAGTTATGGCAGACTACTATTCGCAGGATAAGATCTTTTCGATCAACAATTTCACGAGCTATCGAAAAAATACCATCTTATAAATCGTTATTTTAAATCGTTTAAATTTTTAACGTCTTATATAAAAATGTGTTATAAATTGTCTGTTAAAATCTTTTCTATGTAATATCTCTTTGTGTGCTTTAAATTGCACGAAATGATAGATGACTTTAACAAATTTTATTATACACAAATCATAAGAAATTTAATTGGAGTGCGTGCGCGCGCGCGTGTGTGTGTATGTTATGTGTGATCCTAATAATATAC